GATTCATCCACAATCACATTCTATTTTTATTTTCAGACTTAAGTGTTTAATATATGCGACCTACTTGGCAAAACATTCAGGAATATGTCCTTCTCATGAACACTCGTTTCAATTATTTTTTTTGAAGAGAGATCAAATAGTGATATGAAAGTTTTTGATTTAAAAATGATTCCAGTCTAGCCTATGCCTTTCTTGGAATAATATTAAAAGTTTCCTGTTTTTCACACATTATCCTGGTATGAATTCTGTAATCATTCAATAAGCTCAGTAATTTTTAGTAGAAACTGTTAACTTAGAATTGCATATGAGTGTCAAGTCTGAGAAGCCTGGAAGTTGTCGTGGGTTCCCCTGTCTGTAGAATTGGTTCCCTTCTGAGGTGGGGGTGGAGGGATGGCTGGGGAAGGTGTGTTGACAGTCAGCTCTGCTTTGATGTGAAGACAAGGAACTGGCTGTCAGGCTATGGACACCCATATGCCGGAATGAGAAGGGTTTGCATTGTGCGCCACCATTCACGTTAAAAACTTGAGCTTTCCTGGAAAGTTCATTCACATTGTTAAGAGACAAGCCCTTTGGTCCTTTTGCATGTGAGGATAGGGAAGAGAAGGGATTCCAATATTTCACTGAAACAGATGTTCAACATTCATACCTTCAGTCTCCCTTTGTTCAGTCCCATTTCTTATGCCCACCCTTAGCTAACTTTGATTTCAGAGCTTCTTCAGGCTTCCACTGGGCGGTCTTTAGTCCCTTCTTTAGACACTTAAACTTATTGTATGTTTTAGTTTCTCCACCTGTTTAATCTTTTAACTCACATCCTTCTTTATTCCTCCAGAAATATATCAAAATGTCTCATTTGTTAGTGAAATGCTTCCTCTCCTTCAGCATTCTCATTGATGATATGCATTTCTTCTTGTAGGGTCTCAGAAGGGGGAAAGGCAACAAACACCTGCATCCAGTCCACCACCTTGAACTGCACGCCCACTTCCTATTGAAACACTCATTTCCTTTGGCTTCCTTGACATTGCACTACTGTTTTTCCTATTAGCTCTCTGACCTCTCCTTCCCCACTATCTTTTGTAGGATTTTCATTCTTTATCCTTCCAATGCAATTTGGATTACTCAAGGCTTGGTCCTAAGCTAACTTTTCTTCATTTCATACTCTTTTCATGGGCATTCTTAACCACACCAATGTTTTCATTTACCATTTGTATTGTGATGACTCATGTTTATATTTAAACACTATTATTGAAGCTATTATATTTGTACAGCAGAATTTTAAGAGAAACCACATCCAAAATGTATCACAATCTTATTTTTCTTGTTATATTCAATTTAAGTCTCGCTTATGAAACACACATGTAGGAGAGCAAACATATCTAAAAATAACTTAAAAACTTGTAATAATATGATACCGAATGATAATTATATAGTTATAATTTGTAAATGTCTCCTGATTTTCAGCTTTTACAGTTAGTTTATGGGAAAGTTTAGAACATGTGGTTGTATTTGCAGGAGAGAACGTCAGAGAAAAGTGGCAGACAAAAGGACATAAAAGTAGCATAGAAAGGCTGAAGAAAAAAGGAGGAATAAAAATATCTTCATTTTATATCATAGGAAGTTAGGAATTATTTTCAAGAGCTAAGAGAACAGTAGAGATTTAAGTACATTATCAAAGTTAAAAAGGTATGCAACAGAAAACTATTATATAAATATAAAATAGAGGCTAGAAGAAGCATATGTATATTTATCATATGAGGGGGTCAACAGTTATTGTCTAAATTTGATTAAAGAAGAAGCATAGATATTTTCTAGCATTATATGAGAAGCTCATGAAGAAAAAAAAGGAAAAGTTAGGAAATTGGCTTTAGGGAGTGGGATTTGATGGGAGGGAGGGCTGTGGGCTTTTTTTTCTCATCAGCACATTAGGGGCCCGTCCCGTGGCGTAGCGGTTAAACGCACATGCTCTGCTGCTGGCGGCCCAGCTTCGGATCCCGGGTGCGCACCGACACACCACTTGTCAGGCCATGCTGTGGTGGCATCCCACATAAAGTGGAGGAAGATGGGCACAGATGTTAGCCCAGGGCCAGTCTTCCTCAGCAAAAAAGAGGAGAATTGGCAGATGTTAGCACAAGGCTGATCTTCCTCACAAAAAAAAATAAATAAGTAAATAAACATTAGTGGACAAATAACCGTCAAGGAAACAATGACCTTAAATAATCTACAGAAAGAAGAAATGTGAATTTTCTAACTTCTCTCATAAAATCTTAAATAAGACTGTCATTGAATGATGTAACTGAAATTTAGCAAATGTTTTCCACCTGTTTCTTTTGAACCTAAATGTTAACTTTAAAATAGCAATTTCCTTTTGCTTATTTGTATTGCTTTATTGAACCTTTCATATAGTACTGCTCAAATAATGAGTCTTTGAAAATATAGATGTTCGTAAAAGAAAAAATTATTCAACAATTTTAACAGCTTCAGTAAACTCAACTAATATGATGACTAAAAAATATTTATTAGTTTAGTGACGTAGTATTGGTTATGTAAGAAATAATGACTAACAGTGTAATGTTCTGAAAAGACCAGAGGAAATGAAAGTCAAGGGTCAAAGATGGAGGGATTGGTTCTAATAGGAGAATAGTATCTCAACTGAAATAGGATGAGGGAAAAAAAAGTGTGGATGGAGATGTAGATTTGAATTTTATAAGTAGGAAGATGCATTTGATACTTATATAGTTTTTGTGAAGTGGTAGTGGTGGGGAAGTCCAGTTTAAGGAAAGCAGAGAGGCTTCCAAAAACTTTTGGGAGAATTACAGATTAACCATTCACAAAAACTTAGTAGGATTGAGTGGCAATGTTGATTTCCCATTTGGATCTGATGATCATGAATCCATGGCAGCTGTAACTCTCTAGTAGCTCTCAGATTCTCAAGTCAGTCACAGATTAAAGGTATGGTAAGTTGGGGTTTTGCCAAACAAGAGCAATAGAAGACAGAGGGGCAAGGAAGTTTAAATAGTAGTAAAAACTTGTTCTAATTATTCTTGAACTATTTGACCATGGAAGCTAGAAGGTAAAGTTAAGTGATAAAATTGGACCATGAAATAAAAGAAGTGCAAGAGGCTGTTGAACATGGGTACCAAATTTTTAAATTACTAGTGAAGGTGGTATCAGTTTTGGATTCCGACTTATACATGTGCTACTGTCCCTTGTCATGGTTAATGTAATGTTTAGGTCTATTGTGTGAAAAGAAGGCAGAAGAGCCTCCGCAGCCTCAGGCACTAGCCAAATGTAAAATATTATTACATAAATGGATAGTGTAAGTGGAACTAGTTATTGGTTAGTCAGCAAAATGCTACAATTTTCAGACAAAGATGCTTTAAATTCTCAAGGAATTAATGAGAAAATGCTCAGAAATTTTATGGAAATGGCTTGTAGAGAATTGCTTCAACTCTGAGATTTTGCCTAGACAAATTTTAAAAATGCATATCTGTTTTCCTTTTTTTCTTTTCACTCTTCTAGACATTCTTCTATAATCCTGAATTGGCATACTATATACACTATCATGGCTTTAACCGTAGGGATGAAATACACAACGACTGTAGATTAAATTTCTTTCTCTTGCCTAACCCTCTCTTATGCATATTAGGCATATATACCTGAATACCTACTGCATATTTCCACATAGATTTCCCATGGATATTTCATCTCATCATATCCAAAGCTGAATTCCTCACATTCATCAACTCCTCAATCTATTCCTTCATCTATGTTATCTCGTCTCATGAAGAGAATCATCACCAACTCAATGAACTGACAAAGCTTCCTCCTACCCTAGAGCTCCACGTTGAATTAATCATCATATCCTGGTAATTCTACCTCCTTAATATCCCAGGCATGTTTCCTGCCCACGAATGCTATTACCACTGCTTTCATTCTGTCCCTCATCACCTCCTGAACAGTTAGTTTCAATAGCCTCTGAATTGTTCTCCCAATTTATATTCTTGTTTCCCATCTATTCCTCCATGCCATTGCCCAGCTGTGTAACCTTTGGTAGGGCCTTCATCTCTCTAATATTGGCTTCCTCACCTCTAAAATAGATATTGCATTTATACTCTCTACCTGATAGGATTATTACTACTATATGTATATATATGCATATATGCAAATATTATATATACTATGAAGTCTAAATATATAAGATAAGAAACTAAGTGGTAAGCAAAAATCTTGTGGTATAACTCTGACCACACATTCCAGCAACATACATTCTAAAACTAAGCATATAAAAGAGTAGTGTTGAAATAGATTATTTTTTAAGCTTCACAATCAATCAGGATTCTCAAGCTCACTTCTTAATAATGCCTTCATAGATTTTTTATTGCATGAGAGAACAAGCCACATATCATATATCAGCTGTAATATAGCACTTGACTTCTTTAATGAAACGCTTAACTGTAAACGTCTATAACTACAAATGAGGTGTTTAAATTTGAAGATATTTAGATAGATGGCAATACCTATAATCATAGAATCATCATTTCTGCCTGAATTGCACTTAAAAGTTAAAGTTCCAACTGCTCCTATTATTGGAAAAGTAATAATAACAATAATAACTATACCATGAAGTATTAAAACCTGAACATAATGAAAAGTGAACCTCTAAAATACTTGTGATTCGTACACATATGCTATACAGAGGCACTAAAAAGCAAAGAAAAGAAGTATGGAGTCTTCATTACAGTTCATCTTCTCAGATTCTCTCCCTTTTTGGCATTAGAGTAACATTGTGCTTAGTATTTCTCATCCATAGGTCATCACTTTCCTATGTCAAAATTTTTATCCTAAGGTATGCATAATCAGACTAAAAATGTAGAGTTTCTAAATATAGCAAATGCCTTTTTATTTTATTTGTGCTAGGTTTAAGTGCTTAGAAAAACACTAATACATCTTTATTTTTCACATCTGAGGTGGCTGATCATTTCACTCTGTGCCATGCAACTTACCATCATTACGCAGAGTGAGTGGTGTTGGAGGACTAAGTACTCGAGCATTTGTCACTGTGTTTTTCACCAGACAAATATAGCTGCCCACATCTGATGTTTGGACTTTAGAAATATAAAGGTTGCCTGTCTCCTGGGAAATGAACCGCCGGCTGTCTTCCGCCACAAAGGAAGGGAACTCGTTAAATACCCAGCTATAGATGATCTCTGAAAATACACAAAATTCAATTGTTGAAAGACACAAATTATTTTACTAACAGTTAAAGCTCAAACAGCAAAGACTTTACTAAGTGTTAGATATATTGCAAGCCATACGTATTTGATCCAGATATCTGTATAATTTAGTATTTTATCTTCAAAGGACTGTTATTAATAATTACAGGAAGAGCTGAATATTTCTCAAGTATACTTTGTCTTTATCCATCCATCCATCCATCCATCCATTCATCCATTCACCCATCCATCCATTCAATTCCAATGTGTGTTGAATGTGTATTAGATGATCGGCACTATGATAGCACTGAAATTAAACAGATAAGAGAGACAGTTTCCCATTCCCAAAGATCAGTCTAATGAGAGAGATTTGCCCAAGCCTATGATGCAATGTGGAATAAAGAAATGGAGATGTATATTCTATTGCAAGGAGGGTATGGGAGAGGGGCAGTCATGTCGATCAGCAAAAACTTCTTGAGTTAAGAGACACCTGAGCTACATTCATATACTCATTTGTTCAACAAATTTGGGTTGAGAGTCAGTTCTCACGGAGCTTTCATGATAGTGGGAATAAATAAGAATACACAAACAAATAAGTATATGTCAAGTGGCAATAAGTGCTATGAAGAAAACAAAGACATGTTAAGAGAGGTAGGGAGTGACAGGGCTGAGCAGGGCATGTGAATTTATATTTTAAAAGCTCTCTCTGACTGCTGAGTAGAGAAGAGACAGTGTTGAGGACAAAAAAGGGACCAGGGAGAGGGGAGCAGGAGGAATAATGTCCACTAGCCTAAGAAGCTATTTGCAAAATAGCCATGAAAGATATAAATAATATGCACTAGAATGATGGTGGTAGTGACAGCAGTGGTGAAGTGGTGAGAGTGACTGGTTCTGGTAAAAACGTGGTAGTAGAGTTGACAGGAGTTGCTGATGGACTGATTATGAAACGTGAGAAAGAGAAGAGTCAAGGAGTAAGATTCTGGACCTGAGTAACTGAACAACTAGAAGAATATATTTGCCTTTGCTTAAATGGGAAGACCACAGAAAGAGCAGTTCTTTGGATATGTGGTGGTGTAAAACCAGGAGTTTAATTTTGACAGATTAAATTTGACATACCATCTGGTGCTCAATTAAAGAAATTGAGAAGGCAGTTTTATCTTTGAATATGGAGGCCAAGGCAGAAATTTATGCTTTGTTATTGTAAATTTGAGAGTCTTAGAAGATGAGTTGGAGCTAGCCAGGTGAAGAGTGTATGGGGTGCTGAAGGTATTCCAATCAGAGGAGACAAATGAGGAAGGTCATTCAGACAAGAAGTTGAATGGTATGAGTGGACCACCACCAACGGTTTTGTGTTATTGGAGTAAAAAATCCAAGAAAAGGAGTAGTAAGAGAAAATGTTGGAGAGATTGGAGATAAATCCAAATTACTAAACACAGATTAGTATGGTGCATATGTTATAATAAGGAGCTTGTGCTCTATCCTATATGCAGTGTGGCACCACTGGACATTTTCTAGCAAAGAGTTGACGTAGATATGTACATTAGTTGGTTATTCTAGTGATTCTGATTTAAGTAAGAGCAAGGTTGCAGGAGAGAACAATAGACGATATTTCATACTGAAGATAAGGGCTGAAGAAATCTGAATCAGAACCATGACCATAATAATAAGAAGAAGTACATTAGTCCAAGAAATATATCATAGGTAAGACAAAGGAAGAGAAAAACAGTCCAGGAACACTGGACTTATCTCCCTGCGGGGCTGGGAAGAGGATGGCACAAGAAGTTCAGGATGGAGATATACGAAATCAAACTGGTTTAAAGATAATTGGTTCACTTTCAGGACATTTGAGTTTGAAGCGTGTGAGGCAAATCCAGGTAAGGAGCTCCAGCAGTTGGGAAATACGTGGTTGAAGTCCGGGAAAAGCAATCTGTGGTGAAGGTTAAATTTGCGAGTAGTCATTATATTGGTATAATTGATTCCATTTAAGTAGATGAGACTGACTGGGGAGAGTGGACATGGTGATAAGATAGTTCTCTGGGAAGTACAAACGTCTAAACAAACGTAAGAAAATGTTCAAAGGGTGAGAGAGAAGGAACTGTTGGAAAGATTCAAGGAGAATAAAGAAAATGCAGTGTCAGGCGCCCATAGCTTAACCATTTCAAAAAATTAAATAATGTCAAATAAGGTAAAAGGCCCAATAAAATAAAGAAAAATGTTCCTTAAGATTGGTATGTGAGATATCACTGAATGGCATCTTTAATAGATGAATGAGGATCAAAATCAGATTGTGATTGAGTAAATAGAAGATGAGGCATTGGAAGCATTGCGTGTAGGTTAATAGCTTTCAAATCTCAATAGGCATTAGAATTACCTATGATATGGTTGAAAGAGCATATTCCAAGGTCCCCTTTCCCCAGAGTTATTTGTGTAGTATAACTAGTTCCTTGAGTTTTTAAAAAGTTCACTATGTTATTCTAATCTACAGCGAGGCTTGGGAAGTCCTATTTTATGCCTTTTTCTACTTCCTTCCTTCCTTTCTTGCTTCCAACTTCCTTCCTAACTTCCTTCCTAACTTCCTTCCACCCTAACTTCCTCCCTTCCTCCCTCCCACCCTCCCTCCCTTCTTTCTTTCTTTTTCTCTTATCTTTCTCTCCGTCCACCTATACCTATCTATCTACCATGGCTGGTTAAAAATATATTCATCACTCTGGCCCCTCCAGTTTCCAATGGGGAGCCTGGCGTTTAGTCAGCCTTTCTGGATACTCAAGCAGAGACTTGAAGACTATCCATCTATATTAAAAGTCAATGTAACTCATTACAAAAATTATATATGGATCAATTAACTTTGAATAGAATCCCCCACCCAATCTATTATTATTACTATTTAATTTTTTATCTTAATTGAATTTACAACCAATATAATGTTTTCAGTAAAGATAAATCATTAATTTTCATGAATATGTGTTTAAGAAAGGTGATGCCATAGGCTAACTCATGAGAAGGATCAGAAACATTTTCATAGATATCATCACAGGCAGGTGTATCCTGTACAAACAACTGATGAACATTAAAAATTATATTTCCTCTGTCCAAAAATCCTCTCCCCTCGTGTTTTCTTCACTTAGTTCAGTTAATTGGGACTTCCAGAGGCAGTATAGTCAACTTGGCTACTTACAGAAGGTTTAAATTGATCCAGATTTTAACTAACTCTTTGAGGTTTGGTTTTCTCATTCAAAAAATGAGAATAATATTATCTATTTCATAAGCTTTCAAATAAGTTAATATAACCAGGAACTTAACACTTAACAAGTATTTATAGAATACGAAAAATAACATTTCTGTTATTCCCTTTCCCTTAAAATTGTTTGGTTAGGAGCTCCTTCTATGTGTTCCATTCAAATATAAGGAAAACAGTAAAGAGGATCTAAAAGAACACTGAAAGAATTTTGGGTTCTTAAATATTATTTTGATCTGTTTTCCATAGAAAACTTCGATGATGAGTTGATTCTAACCAAGATTTAGCCAATATTTATTACTTCTAAGGCATATATTATAGTTCTAGCAGATATCGGAGAATTTTGAAATGTTATAATGCATTAGCTTATAATTATAGTACACATACACAATATCGAAAACTTTCAAATATTTTAACAAATGTTTTACAAAGCGAACTGTGTTTTATAGCTACAGTTACCACTTGGCAGTCTTTAGTCCATTTGATATTTTATTAAGAATTTATTAATATTATCCATGTGGCTTTACTCAAAGAAAACCCATAGAGTATAATTGAAGTACTTGATTCTCTTCTCACACTGCTCAACTACACTGTAAATTGAAGGACTTCTCACATTTAACAATATGAATTCCTCCAAGTGTTACAATGAGAGTTTCATTTGTTGTTCACACATCACTCACAGACATTTTGATATTTTTGCAGTTTTATTTTAGGTTAGATTTTACTGAAGTTACCTCAACGTTTGGTTTGTATTACTTGAAATTTGGGAGAAAAGAAGGCAGTGAACAATTAAATTAAAGGTTATCGTTCATTGAAATACTATTTCTTTTACACTGAGAGTGTTTGTTTAGTCAATGTTTTGTAAAATATTTTTAGAATAGAAAAAAATTTTACACAAAATTTATTTATACAAAATTGGCATTTTCTCAAATTTTACAAGTAATTGAATATTTGGGGGTTCAAAAATGCTTATTTAGTTTTTAAAATAAGTTTTCAGTTTTACATAGCAAAGCATTTCATAATTCCAAAAAGGATAAAAAGTAGAAAAGCGTATACAATAGAAAAGCTGACAACCTGAGTTTGGATTGGATTTTCTGCCTGTTCCAAAAATAAAAGTATTGTGCTGGGCTAAATATCTTTTAAGATAGCTGTTCACTTTCTCCTATAAGGTTTTTCACTCTCTATAAGCATTTATTTAATATTTTTTCAAACTTTTCTCTACTATCATAAAAAACAAGCATTAATTATATTTTTAGTAAAATGTCAGAGTCTGAAGATTATAAAATAACTCAGGGAGGTAGTAAAACATAGTTGGCTTTGGGGTCCTAGTCTTTAGCTTCATATACCATTTTGTTTCATACCAATTAGTATTCGATCTTTAAAAATATTTTAATACAAGCTTATTTATTAAGTATTCAAATTTTAATATTATTATTCATTGCGGAAGCCTATTGAGACTAGTTGGTCAATTGTGATTTTCCCATTTTTCTCAAGTTCTCTTTTAATAGTATGTTTAGCTGAGACAATTAAAAATGTTTTAGAACTTCTTGATATGATTCTTCAGTGAGTACTCCTTGTTTTAGCAGATGATGACTACTTTCTGAGATATCCTGTGTGTCCTAGGTTGTGAGTCTCCCTCAAGGATGCTTTTGCTTCAGCTTCTACCACAAGCCCCACTTGGGATCTATCTACTTGGGATCAATTTTTGTGTTGAATTTTATTACTGCACTCTTTGTACTACGTGAGAATGTACATTTGG